AAAAATGCTAGTAGCCAGCCTGAACTAGGGACATAATAGGATGACTTGGAAGGGTCCTTGAAGGTCCTTCTGGTCACGTTCTCCTTGGCCAAATTGTTCTGTGGCTACCACCAATCTACTGCTAATCTTCGCATGGAGAATTCCCAGCATTCAATAGGGTCTTGTGATTATCACGACTAATGGTGTAGGAACCTGTCAACATCTGTCAACACAATGTCCTTTTGAATAGTTGTGCAAACCAATTATTGCCAAAACTCTTCTCAGCCATTCTCAGCTTCCAGCATTGATGTATCGGTCAGCAACCCCCAGTATATATAGTGGTTCTTAAGAATCCCAAAGTAAATACAGGATTGTAGAACATGTGAAGAATATACAAAGAGAATATCAACAAATGTTGTGAAGTGCGCATTTCATCCAATCGGATCCGATGACAAGGCGGTCAGCTCAACGCTTACATTGAACCCACAGCTGACCAGCTCGGAGTGTGGACCTCAGTGACTGGTCTTCCGCGCAACGCGGCACGGGACCAGCGCTGAGGGACGTGTCTGCATTCGGTCCAAGAAAGGCTCCAAAGTGCCCTGGTCCTGGCGTTTTTGAACGAACCCATTTGGGCGGGGCACATGGAGCAAATGTTTCTAACTCCCTGTGGGGGTGTGGGTTTGCGAGGACTTCTACTTCTTGCACCAAAGATCCTTCTTACCAGCATCTTGGACATCCAGTCAAAGCCATGTGTCAAGAGACAAGAGCATGCAAGAGCAAGATGACTAAGAGCAGTTCCCCACCCTGACACCATGAGAATGCCCCACCCGGCCCCTGGGCACCAAGATTGGAATCACCGTGAACTCCGTGACGGTCACCGTTGACGTCGATACCGCGCCTTCAAGGTCTGCAGGCACTCCTCCACTCCTTTCCTTGGGTGCCAAACGTGTGGAGCTGATCCGTTCACCCCAAATGGCCCGCGAAAAAGAGTTGTTATCCCGTTCAACAAAGCAAGCACCGTGGATCTTACCCATTTTAACTTTGAGAAAGGTAAAAACGGTTAAAGGGTGTTTTTTTCCGGGCCTCTCATAGAACCGATCGACTGATCACGAACTGCATGGTTTGTGTCCGCCGCGTGGCCGAGCGGTCAACGGTTGGCCGGGTGCCCCCGCATCGCCGCGCGCAAGGTACTCACGGGATAGATCACACAGTGATAGCCTCAGTGCAGATTGCCAGAGTGGACCCTCGTGAGGACCCTCGTGAGGAAGTATTAGAAATGCAATGAAGCAAATCGATTGGCTGTGCCTTTTTCAACCCTGGTACAGTAGTGTTACATACCCATGTGATTCAAGGTTGAAAGAGTTCCACAGGTCATAGACTTGACTATCTAATTATGTATATATTTGTATGGTACACCCCCCAAAACCTACATTTTTAAGATCTTATGGTTGGCAGGGGATGATAATCAATCAGATCTTTGATTATATATATTAAACTCCCGGGGTCTTGTCTTGACTGATTGTTGGGCCGCTATTTTTTCTAGGTCGCTATGTTGGACCAGGAAACAGCTACAATCCCACCATTTTGACACTTTCCACCTTCAGAAGCACACCAGCAAGAGCCTAGCCCCTCTGGTGTCTAGCCGCTCTGCTGTCTAGCTCATCACAAACGGAACTGCATTTCTTCCACACCCACCACAAAATCTCAGCCCAGTTGGCCCAGTTCATGAAAGCGATCCAAGGTCAAGTAGGGCGTCTTCCCAAACCTTGGAACGCAAACGTCCGGCACACGCGACGCCGGACGTGTCGAAAGACAGGGCGTGATGTTTCCGCCTTGCATTGTTGTTAAGGCCAGAAAGCACTGTCTGTGTTCCTCTGACTGGAGTCTTTTTGAGGTGCAATGCCTTGGTGGGTCGTGGCTTTTCACAGCAGGGCGAATCAAAGTAAATTGATTCAACATTCCCGGTTTACATCCTGGTTGCTCTGCCAGGAATTCTTCTCCTTTAGCTCCCATGCTTGTCACATTCCGGAGAAGCATGGGATCATATGGGATCCATGCAACTTCTCATCCGGCCAAGTCATTCATATGACTTGTATCACCTACATCAATATGCCCCTGCAAGCCAAGTGAGTGTCTCAAACATCTTTTCATGCCCCTATCCATCTTAAACTTGAAGAATATGGGCCGGAAAAATCACCAGAAACTGCTTGAGGTCACCCTAGCGACAAAGGTGCACGTGATAAACACTATATCTCCCATAATCCCATACTGTAGATTCTCGCCAACAAGGGGCCCTGACTTGTCTATCCGGGCTCAACATGATGGTCGTCATCTTACCGACTCTACAGTCAAGGCACTCAGTCATGTTGGCCAGCATGAAGGGCCCACCACCAGGTGCTGAACCTGACCTAGGGCCACGGACCATGTGCAGCATGGAAAAGGCGGTGAAAAGTAATTATCCACGAATCCACGACCATTTTTGGACCTGGAAGATGTGTCACCCGATCCGCTATCTAATTATACTAAATTATACTATCTGTATACTATACATTCACCCAGTTGTCGGATGTCCCAAAAAATGTGCCAGCACCCTTCCGCAGTGTATCTTTCTTCTCCGTTTCTTACTTCTGGCCTCGTCTTCACGCCAGAACCGACCCTTTTCTTACAACGAAGACCGACTACATGAACTCACGGTGTCCCAAGTTGGAACCGAAACCTGTTTCCGTCTCCCTGGGTAGTCCCGCAGCTTCTTCATGGCCTCGGCAAACTTTCCAAAGTCTTCCTGGAGCGGCGAGTACGACCAGGGCGAGCCGTGGGCTTGGATTGGATCTCTCATAGTCCATATCAGGGCCTCCGGCCATGGGGCGTCGAATCATAGCCCCTTGGAGGTTGAGGGGTGTCCGTTAAATATTAGGGGGCACTGGAATATGTCCATACTCTCTCTCTCTCTCATGTTGGAAGGTGATGGAAGGAGTATGGGTTACAGGGAAGGTGACATGGACATATTCCATCAATGGGTTCTTCCATGTCTAGTCTAGTACTCGAGAGTACTCCAGTATACTCTAGTACATTCCGCATCATCTCCATGTCTGCTGTATCCTGTGACAGACTGCTGTATCTACTGCAGACTAACCAGTCGAGCCGGACCGATCGGTCACGGTAGAAATCGATCCCAGTCATGATTATCCCAGTCGATCACGGCTTCTGGCGATGAAGTTCACGTGTTTCACATTGTGTCACATAAATTTCAACCATCATCTTTTAGACCGCTTTCACATCTCTTCCAATCAGATGAGCCAGACGGAGAAAAGCGCCTCAGACTCAGATCGATGGACGAGGCGACCTGCCTGTAGAAGACATGGACGTCACAACGGCCATCTGAAGGCCGTCTGTCTGTATCCCCTGGTCCTCCGACTGTAGGCCCTCGGGGAAGATCATGTCTGCACCAGCTTGGACGTAGGCGCCAGCCTTAGCACCATGGGTTTTGTCACACTTTTCAGCAAATCTTGGCAGCTGTGTGCGGCTTGCTGGGAACTTGGGCGGGCAGTGGTGCCAGCATCCACCAAGAGTGTGAACCGCAAGTGATTGTTGGATACGACTTTGTTGGAGGGTCCAGCAGCTTTACCTCTGGTGACCCTGGGACCCTTGCAAAGACTCAAACTCCGTGGCTGGGCGAAAAAACAACACCTTACGCTGAACAAATAGCTGGCACAAAATGTCCCAGAGCAAGGATTGATATCTTCTGGTAGAGGCCACCGGTACTCGATACCAATTGACTCAATTGACAGTGACAGGCGGAGGATCTTTAGGTTCCCTTACAGAGCCTACTGTGGTTTTACCTAGATTTTACATGATTTTATGATATCTTCGTATATCTTCGTGAGATGCTTGTACTGTACTTCTTACATGCTCTGAGTCCACAGATCGATCACCGGGCGGTGTGAGGTGTCCAGCTTCTGGGTGTCCCAGCTCGTTCGACAGCTCGATCAAAGCCCTCCCCTGGCCTCGAGGCGTTCGGCTCTGAGTCGATTTTCTGTCCCAAGGGGGGAAGAAAGGCGCATTCACTCAAGACATTCCTCCTTCAGAGTCGGAAGCAAGGAATAAACACCATCATAATGGTCACTCTCTCCCCACTATAGCTGGTTAGTGATGCTAGTGTATACTGTACATTCTCAGGTTTCCCATTCACTCTCTCCATATCATTCAATCTGACAGAAGGTGGCCCAGGCTCCAGATTCGACCCTCCGTACCTGCCGGGCACCCCGCACGAGGAGGCCTGCCAAAACCTTCAAGTGCACCAGGCACCGATCTTTTAAATCTGTTGATAGATACTTAAAGCAAGTTGAAGCATGGCTTAAGCCACTTCAAGGTGTTTCGACATGCTTTGGGAACTGTTTCGACATGTTTCGACCTCCTTTGGGGGGAACCACAACATGAGAAGTAGCTCGTCCTCTCCAGTCGTTGTGGTCATGCCGCCCTCCCAGGTCAGGCGCCCGACACCCCAGCAGCATCCGTCCGCGCGCAAATGATGAACTCGCCGTCCGAGCAGTGGCGCCTGGATGTGGCCACGGTACGGCCAGTGGTACGTCCGACCCAGCCGGAACTGCTTGATCTATATGTCCATAGGTCCAAAGGATCAACCAGTTCTATCGCGGAACTGCTTGGTCATAGAACCAGATGGAGGGATCCAGTCGGGTGCATGCGAGGTCTGAAATAGGCCCATAGCGGATGGACCAGAATTGCTTGGCCCCGGCGACGCCCCATAGCAAACATCAAGTCAACCTGATTCTTCAAAGGGACCCTTTGAGGTGTTTCCACCTTGGTGGACTAGCCAGAAAATCCAAGACTCATAATCCACCTACCTAGAAGTAATAATCCACCACTACAATAGGGGTAAAATGCGTCATGTCTGGACTCTCAAGGTGCCCGCGGAAGCTGAGTTCTTGAGAGATCTTGTGAAATCTGAGGGTCCCCTGCGAGGCTTCCGCCGCCCGCTCGACCTTCTCCACGAAGACATCCTCAGAACATGTAGCGCATCTGGGAGTGACCTGTGTGACATATTGCTAGACATATGATGGGCTTCTTTCTGGGAAAATCTACCGGCCATCAGAAGTGTTCATCATGTCGTGATAGGTGTACCATGGTGTAGGCTGCCAACTCTTCACAGGGAGAGGGGCGACCGCAATGTTCCAATGATGGTTGCGAGAATCTACTGAATGTACTTGTCAAACGTCAAATCACCAAGCATTTCTTCCCAACCCTTTGTGTAGGGTACCTCTGCGTGAAACTCAACTTGTACTTTCGCCCCGAAGGTATCCCAAACTGTTTATACCCTCCTTCCAACTTGCTCATGAAACCCACAGCTGTGCCACAAAAAAAATGGTCCAACATCTCATGCAACATCTGCACGTTGACAGACCCACACCTTTACAGCCAAATGTTCCATCGCTCAGATGATCGAAAGCCAGAAAATCACCCTGTTGAAAGCCCAACACTCACTTCCCCACCCCCGTGGCGACACTGTCCCGCCCTGCGCCGCGTGTGGCCGTTGGGTGAAACCCCGTTTGTCCCACGGCCGGACCCCCGGGGCTCCGGACGATGGGCACCAAGGCCTTGCCGTCCAAGTGGCCACAGCGCTTCGGGAAGACCTGGTGTGTTGACGCCGAACTCGGAAAACGGCATGGTGTGTTGACGCTGAAAAAGATGGAGTGGTACAGAGAAACTGGTGAATGACCAGGGTGAACATATGAGTGTGACCTGGTCTTTGGAGCCACCGGTCGATCCAGGGAAAGGCGGATGATGGGGTGATGATGGGGTGTAGTTGGGTGAGTGGAGGGGGTCATCGGACGATATGAAGCGATGTGAACCGTAGAGTAGGCTTCTATCATCTTCTATCTATACTGCAGTGGTCGGCAGAGTCTTGTGGAGCACTTGGCACTCGGCAGTTGTTGTTTACCCTGCAGGGTGCATCCCTTCCTGATCCTCGATGTGCAATCCAGCAGCCCCTGCCTCAGTTCGAGTTTGACCAACAAGCCTCCCACGCTACATGCATGAGATCACAACTGAGTCTCCATCTGGTCATTTGGCTGCCAAAAAGTCCGGGGGCCGACACTACAGTGGTAAGGCTTAGAGGAACAAAGAAGGACTCGCGCTTTTTGATGCTTGCCTGGGTGAACCTAGCCCTCCACACATAGACCGTCTACTCCTCCTCTTCTCTTCAACCACTCACGTTGAGCCAAGGTACCCAACAGTACTCCTCGACAGTTCTTCGGACCATTTCGCCCTGGAGCAATGTGCGGGGTGCTCATCCTGTTGCGGTCGAGAAGCTTCAGTACTACTCTTGTAGTTGTAAATGACATAAAGGATGTTGACCGTCATCCAAGTAGTTATATATATATATACACCCAATCAGCTTGAAGGTTGACCTGAGAAAGAAACTCAATCTGCGAGTCTGCGAGTCTGCGTTTGCAAACCGGTGGTTGAAACATGTTGAAACCAGTTTCAGGGAGGGCATCACATGGAGGTGCGTCGCAGGAAATCACCTCCCAATGATTGCTCCTTCCAGCAAGCCTCTTCCATCCTGCCAAGGGTCCAACAACTCCCAGAATTCCAATCCCGAATGGAGAGGTTCCTCTCCAGTCCATGGGCCATAGGAGTGATATGGAGTGATTTGATTCATCCAATTCAGTCTACCCGTCCCTTCCAATAAAGAACAATGGACCCAACTCCGGGTCCTTCCCCTTCGACGCCCGAACCCGCCGCCGCACCATCGACGCCCGCCTCGCCGAAGCCGGTGTCCGCGTCGGCGATCAGCGGGAGATGCGACACGGAGACGACCTCCTTGATCCTCCGCGCAGCCGCCGCAGCGCTGGAGAAGAGGCGCAGCGGTGCAGGGCAGATCGGATCATGCGCACCAGATCGGGTGATTAAGGCCGAGTCGTTGAAGGTTGGAACTTGGATGTTTGTACCTATGACTTTTGGAGGTGATATGAATTGTTCTTTGGAGAAAGCACCGATACAAATACACCCTTCATCATTCCTTGCATGTCCTTCTCCTTTTCCGTGAAAGGCCTGATGATGCGTAAGACTCAGACACAATGTGGTTGAAAGCTGGCCATTGATGGGCACGGTGAATCTGCAAACCAGTTCGGAAAAACACGGAAAGCGGAGCAGCTGCATTTTATTGCTGGGTAGTCGGACCTCTTTTTTTCATGGCTTTAACGGTGTTGTACGTACACTACGCAGAAGACCACCTGCCCAAGTCGAACGGCAGAGAAAACAAGTATATAACATTACACTTGTCGGACCTAAGTCTGTCGGGTTTTTACGATGTTATACGCACATGACGCAAAAAGACTACCTGCCCAAGTCAAACGGCAAAGAAAAAGCAGCCAAGTGGACGCAAAACAAGTGACATAACAGCAGCAAAGCCTTCAACATAGATCCCACAGCCCCAATCACTTCCAACATACCTCCACGAGAAGCCCCAACAGAGCCCCAACATTGGGCGAAACGTGCCAACATGGAGAAGGATATGCCCCAAGAATGCACCAAGATCGCCGAAGATTGGTGCAAACATGCCCCAAATTTGACTGCCCATTGGAGCAAGCTTTCGTAAGCAACAAAAACGACAAAAAAACTGTCAAAGCCACCTTTCTTACACTTGTCGGACCTCATTTTCATGGATTTATGGCGTTTTAATTTACGCACAGTACGCAAAAAACCACCTGCCAAGTCAAACAGGGCAGAGAAAAAGCAGCCAAGTGGACCAACATGGCCGCAAAACATAACAGCAGCAAAGCCTTCAACATAGCCCTGATCTAGACCCCACGGCCCCAATCACTTCCAACATACCTCCACGAGAAGCCTCAAGACAGCCCCAACATTCTTTGGAGTGCTCCAATATGGAAAAGGATATGTCCCAAGAATGCACCAAGATCGCCGAAGATTGGCACAAACATGCCTCAAGTTTGACCACCCACTGGAGCAAGCACGCATAAGCAACAAAAACGACCAAAAATTGTCAAAACCAACTTTCTTACACTTGTCGGACCTCATTTTGCATGGTACATACTTTTCTATAGTGACTATAGTGCTTTACACACACTACGCAAAAGACCACCTGCCCAAGTCAAACCGCAGATAAAAAGCAGCCAAGTGGACCAACATGGCCGCAAAACAAATAGCATAACAGCAGCAAAGCCTTCAACATAGCCCTGATCTAGACCCCGCAGCCCCACTCACTTCCAACATACCTCCACGAGAAGCCTCAAGACAGCCCCAACATTGGGCGAAACGTGCCAACATGGAACAGGATATGTCCCAAGAATGCACCAAGATCGCTGAAGATTGGCACAAACGATCACAAACGTGCCCCGACTTTAGGCACCCACTGGAGCTAGCTTTCATAAGACAAAGCAACAAAAACGACAAAGAAAACTGTCAAAACCACCTGTCTTCACTTGTCGGACCTCATTTTTGCGTGATTTTTGTGTTTCACACGCACTGGGCAAAAAGACCGCCTGCCCAAGTCAAGCAGCAGAGAAAAAGCAGCCAAATGGACCAACATGGCCGCAAAACATTAAATAACATAACAGCAGCAAAGCCTTCAACATAGCCCTGATCTAGACCCC